GAAATATTAAATTTGTTATTGCATTTAGACACCACCGTTTTTAAAACAATAATTATAGTAATTTTACCAGTCCATTTACCGGATTTTGTTTATTTTTTCGATTGTAAGATTTTTCATCAATAATAATACTACTTAAGGTTGAGTAAATATTATAACGAAAAAGTCCAAAAATAGTTGAACAATAATAATATTAAAAATAATAATACGAATGGTACCTACTGAAAAATCTTTTCATAACTTGTAACTCGTAAAACATATTACCTAATATTAACTGTTATTAAAATTACAACGCTGCTCGCTATTTTATAATAAAGAATTAAAATTTGATGATAACTTACTGTATAAATCATTATTTCCGAAGTGCTTCAGCAGTTTCAGTTTGTGATCCAGAAATGRAGAGCTAATCATTCCTAAGTTCTTGGTTACTATTAAATTAATTWTTATGTGAATTATAAATTGTTTAAATAAATAATATATAATAAAATGAAGTATAATAATATTATGTTAACAATTACACATATTATACGAAATATTTGGCATAAACTACAATTAAATATTAATTATTATGGTATTATCAATATATCCAGTGTTTGAAAACTTCATGAAATTTGAAATTGTGAAATATTTCATATTTTCATTAGAAATTTCAGTAGGTATTATGATAATTTTTTTAATTTTTTTAAATAAGTTTTATTTTTATGTATAATTGTCATAATTTACCTTCAAAATTGTATAATATTAGGAAAAACAATCACCAACTACTCATTAGTGTTGGTTTTCTTTAGTTAGTTTATTGATAAATTAATAATAATCGTCAATATTTGTATTAGAAACATTTTAATGTATCTTGATTTCAACACATAGTGAAATATTTCATACTTTAAAACACTAAATATACCATACCGGAACTAGGTATATTCGATTTATTTTGAATTGTTATCAGTAAAATAAAAACGAAGTGTATGATTTTATTTTTCTGCTTTTCAGGTAAATTAGATTACATAGGATCATCGCATCAGTGGTGGCATTTCCTGGTCGTCATAGCGTTGTATTACTGGCATAACACTGGCATTTTGTACATCGAGTACAGAATGAACCACGGATGTGTCAACGATTTACGGCTATAATATTGATTTTGCTCAATGTGTACTTATATTGTTATTTTATAGTTAATTTATTTTTAGTATTAAGTAAATTACCTATATTATGGTTTGTTTGTTATTTTACGGTTCGACGAGAATTTCTGTGAAATATTTCTTATACTTTATTATAAAATTCAAATTCTTTATTTACATAAAAGATTAAAAAAATGTTTATCATTAATAAAATGGAATCGATTGAATACACAGCGACTATATTTCCTTTCGCAATTAGTATACATTATACATAATAATATAATATACTATCCTAWCTACTAAGTCTCTTATTTAAAATGATACATAATATATATGTAGCGTGAACATATGAATACTATATATTAAAATATGTAGTCCCTGGATGATTCCMTAAAATCGGGAATTTAACAATAGGCTTGTCCAAAAAATGTATAATATGGCACATACATAAGCACATAAATGTGTATGACATGTATTGCATACCATTGTTATGTAAATTTACATTATTCGGGTGCGTCGAAAAGAAACGCATACTTAAATTTTGATTTCACCTTTTCGTTTTTTTTTTTTTTCTGTTGTTAGAAGTTAGACACGCTTAAGGCTTAAAACAGGACGTGGCACAGCGGTATGAGCTATTGTACTGTTTAAGTCTGTAAAGAATATCAATAACAATTCGTATAATAGTTATAAAAATGCATTATCTCATAATGATTTGCAATTTGATAAATAATGAAAACTTTTGTAGTATCTTCAAACCACTCAACGATCGGGTTGACGAATGACAATATTGATGCTTATTATACTCATTATTTGTTACTCAATCTATTGGAAAAAGGCATTATAAATATTTCCAATATATTATTTTAATGTACCTACTGTATAACCGTAATGGATATATTTCGAAAAATAATGTTCAATTAAATTCTCTTACGATAATACCAACCAATAGAATATGTAGTCGCTACCTATTTAATTGGCTATTTTTAATGAAACAAAAAAAATGGTACTTGTTTTTTCTTGCAGTTATAACTACAGTATTATATTGTTTAAATAAATGTTAAAGTCAACGGCACAGTTACGATATATTATGAGCAATACATAATTTTATAGTTGTNTTTTTTTTTTTTTCTGTTGTTAGAAGTTAGACACGCTTAAGGCTTAAAACAGGACGTGGCACAGCGGTATGAGCTATTGTACTGTTTAAGTCTGTAAAGAATATCAATAACAATTCGTATAATAGTTATAAAAATGCATTATCTCATAATGATTTGCAATTTGATAAATAATGAAAACTTTTGTAGTATCTTCAAACCACTCAACGATCGGGTTGACGAATGACAATATTGATGCTTATTATACTCATTATTTGTTACTCAATCTATTGGAAAAAGGCATTATAAATATTTCCAATATATTATTTTAATGTACCTACTGTATAACCGTAATGGATATATTTCGAAAAATAATGTTCAATTAAATGCTCTTACGATAATACCAACCAATAGAATACGTAGTCGCTACCTATTTAATTGGCTATTTTTAATGAAACAAAAAAATGGTACTTGTTTTTTCTTGCAGTTATAACTACAGTATTATATTGTTTAAATAAATGTTAAAGTCAACGGCACAGTTACGATATATTATGAGCAATACATAATTTTATAGTTGTRCGTATTAATTTTAGGATATTGGTGTTGACGGTTGACCTATATTCCTATTATATACATATAGATAGGTAATGCATATAACATTGCAATATATTATGTATTGACACGTTGTGTCCTCAGAGATTATTCTTCAGTATTCTATCGTTGTACTTTTTCAATAAATTAATGTTTAAATTGTTCAACGCTAGCTGAATGATGTTTTAATTTAATTTGGTGATAAAGGCGTATTAGGAAAATACGTTCATGACATATAGTTACATCATATCCAATGCATAATATCATAGTATACAACAATTATTAATAGTKTAATACATATTTTATCGAACAAACATCACCAACGAAGCATAATAAAATAGGTAGGTTTCAAGAAGATAAAATACTTGGACAACCAGCAGCACATATGGCATAGATCGAGGGTTTGTTTTAATTTATGCAAATAATTTGAATATATAATGATATAGGTGTATCGACCACGTTATTGCATTGATTTATGAGAATATGATAAAAAACACGAACTACTATTACGAAAACGAGTAAGTATAAACAACAGGACCAACAAAAACAAAAATATCTTTTTCTTGTGAATAATAAGTTATAGGTACAATCGATTATGCAGTTGGAATTCGACGACTTATTTAAATAACCAGTATTGAATAAGAAACAAAGACTTCGAATTCCTGGTTAAAATATTATTCATACCGGTGGTTTTCAAACTTTTTTTCCCATCAAGGCACATTATTACTAGTTAGTAGTTATTATGGTAGTCATGGCATACTTTGAATAAATATTATCTAAACATAAATAAAATCATTTAAT